ACCAAAAATCATTTAAATACGTTAAGTAATTTTTGCGTAAAAGAGTCACAAACATCCATCCAATGTTGGAATCATAAAAATATTTAAAAAAAAGCTTGTAAATTTAAATACAGATATTTTTTATACCACACCGGTAGCAAACAAGCATACAGCCCGTCTGATGGTAAACGGTCACTGTAGCCGATGGACGCCTGTAACACTAGGGGTATTACGTGCACGTTGCCGACCCTGAAGAAACCTTAATAGATTATTTTTAAAGAATCCCATACTGTAGTCTCTAGAGAAAACCTCGGCAGGGAGCTCATTCCACAGCCTCAATGGTCGCGTACTGCGCGGTTTCAGAGATGTGTCCTCCCACTAACACTTAGGTTTTGGAATGAGCTCTCTGCCGAGGTTTTCCCAAGAGACTACAGCATGGGGTTCTTCAAAAGGGGGGTTAAGAGATTTCTTCGGGGTCGGCAACGCGCGCGTAATACCTCTGGTATTGCAGGCGTTCATAGGCTACGGTAACCACTTACTATCAGGTGGGCCGTATGCTTGTTTGCCACCTCAGTGGCACAAAAAAAATTGCTCTGTACGCGATCATTTAGATTCTAGCGTGTAAGGATTTTATTGTATTACAGGGGTGGACGACTTGACTAGACCCAAGATCTACTGTTTACTAACGAAACCCAATACGATCTACCAATTACATACTTCTTGGAATCACAAATGAAACAACAGTTCAGTACACAATTATGTTGTATTGGAGTATTTTTTTATTTTATTAAGAGGGAAAACATAAAATTGAAAATTGTTCTTAGTAACTATTTATGCGTAACTATTTATAACTATCATTGCGTCCGAGCTCGGACGCAATGTCCGAGCATCTTCCATTAGATTAGCAAAATATTATATTGTTTGCCTCGCCACGATCGACTGGACTTACTAGTCGCATTTGACCGGTTGGCAATCCCTGTTGTATTATTCTAAGTAATGTATGTATATATATATATATATATATATATATATATATATATATATATATATATATAAGTGCTGACGTCATAGAACAGTTTATTCAATATTCAGTACCAATTTATTACTTAGAATGGCAAACAAGCTGACGGCCCACCTGATAGAAAGTGGTAACCGTCGCCTATAGACATGAGCAGTACCATGGACATAAAAGAGTATACTGTTTCGCCCATGATACCCCCCATGCGTTGCCATTCCTGAGGACTCATGTGTTATTCCTCTGTACCCAGCAAATTCACGCCATATCCCACCCTTCAAACCGAAACACAGCCATGCAAATACAACTGCTTTACGGTTGAAACACGAATGGGACAGAGGTGCCCAAGCAATCGACTTTTGTACAAAGTACAATATATTAAAAAATACCAGCCACTTCAATCATGGTGAAATTAATACGCACATGAGAATAAGCCTTAAAAGTAATTTTCGAAACTGGCTCAAGATTGGCGGAGATATCGCGTAACATACACACAGAAAATACAGACAAATTTCAAACCTCGTCTTGAAATTGCTTAATAAAATAATATTGTTTTGTATAAAAATATGCATCAGTAGAGTTAAACTGTATTAAGGGAAGGGAATTGATGAAATTCCAAATGTACCGAAATGATACACAAAACGGACTGCCATCTTGTTTGGAGGGGCGACTTAATTAAAAAATAACAGTCGACAGAGTGGCGAGCGTAACAATTCGTAACCTACCCATCTATCTCTTCATATAAATATGAAGCTGCAATTGTATTGTTATTTTTAGAGAAAGTTATTACGTATTTATCTCGCTACTAGTCTTTATCCATGGCTTTGTCTTTGTTTCGGGGACCGGTGTGTAGATGACCAAGATATCATCATCATTTCCATCATTTCCCTATAGACTGCCATAAGTATTGGTCCTGAACCACCTGCTTCCACTGGTTCCCGAAGGATAAGTAAGCTGAAATGCTAATGGGCTGGTCACATAGCTCGAAGAACCGATAACCGATGGAGAGAAAGGTTCTTGAGTGGCGAACGCGTTACGGCAAACGCAGTATAGGACGATTCCTCATTAGATGGAGTGACGACCTGAAATGCATTGCAGGGAGTCAGTGGATGCAGGTGGCTCAGGACCGTTCTTTATGACAGTCTATGGGGGAGGCTTATGCTCAGCAGTGGATGAATAATGGCTGAAACGATGATGATGGTAACTATGTATTTTTTGTGTACAATAAAGTATAAATAAAATAGAAATAAAATTATTATTGTGTAATAGAGAAATAACCAAAGATAAACAAACAAAAGGCAAGCAACAAATTAGTTTCATGAATACATTACACTCACCTTTAACTCCGAGATATTCACGGTAACATTTGACGTAAATTATCAAAGGAAATACAGAGAAATGTAAACTTTATTGTAAACTACAGAGAGTGAAGTAAAGAGGTACAATTCTCAGTAATGGAAACGCATTAGGGGTACCATGGTCGTCACAGTGGGATTCTCCCGTGACAGCCATGGAGTGATTTATACTTATAGTTGACGATTATCTCTTTCGATTCAGTTTATTTCCCATTTTCAGTTGTATAAAAAAAACGCTTTTAATTAAATGGCATTGTTCACCAATGGTCGAAGGAGAGCCTAACCAAAGCCTAATTGCGGTTGCCAATTCGCCTGCCAAGCGTAGAAACTACTGGCAAAACTCCCCAAGGGGCAGGCTTATGTTCATCAGTGGACAGTTAAGGCTGATATGATAATAATATGATGATTAGCTTTAATAGACAAATTTTTGATACTTTCGGTTACAATATTGTAATTTACATAAAAATCGTATGAATAAGTTGACCCGCTTTTTTTTTCGGGCCATTTCTGTGGAGACATTCTGTCTATATAATCTAAAACTTGACCAATTAAATTATAGAATCGATTATTTAATTTAATTAATTAATTTAATTTCAAACTGTTTAAAATTAATTCTCTCCATCCAAAGGTTGCATGGAAGAAATCGCTTTTAGTGATAAGGTCGCTCATTTGTTTTCTTGTATTGATTATTTCTTGTAATTTGTTTGTATCTATAATGAGTTTACTATTGTAATCTTTTGGAGGAAACGACAAAGAATATCTATCTATCTAATCTCTATTTTTCTATAATGTAGCTATATAAAAAAAAAATAAAAAAATAACACTCAAAGGCATCAAACAAATAATACACAAATATAGAAATATGAAACTTATTTATTAAGGTAAAGGTAAACACCCATAGAAAGTACTTAATCACATAAAGCGAGGCGATCAATAGTAATCTCCTTCAAATGTTTACTGTATGTAAAGTCAGTTGTAATAGTACAAGTACCTTAATAGTTTTCACTAAATGTTTCCCGCGGCTTTTCCCGCACGTATTAGATCATATAAAGGTTATTCTAAAAGGATCTATTAACATTTCTTATCAGGGTCAGCAACACGCACGTCACACCCCTAGTGTTTTTTTTATACAACTTAGAATGGCAAACAAGCTGACAGCCCACCTGATGGAAAGTGGTATCCGTCGCCTATAGACAATGAGCAATACCATGGACATAACAGAGTATACTGTTTCTCCCATGATATCCCTCATGCGTTGCCTTTCCTGAGGACTCAGGTATTACTCCTCTGTACCCAGTAAAGTCACGCCATATCCCACCCTTCAAACCGAAACACAGCCATGCAAACACAATTGCTTCACGGTTGAAACACGAATGGGACAGAGGTACCCAAGCAATCGACTTTTGTACAAAGTCTCCCCCTAGTGTTGCGGGGGAAAATGGATTGTTAGTAATGGGGTCTAACTGCCGCATTGCTAGCAATATACCCTATCAGGTCGACCTCACATGGTTCCCCCTGGAAACCATCGTGGTTAATTCTAGTGCAATTCATCACGATGGGCTAACTGACCTGCTTTCATCGTCACCTATCATCCCTCACTGGTGTCCTGCCAGCGTATATCGTTAGTGCCGGCGGGGTTACCATTCTATTATCATCCATTAAAAAAAACCCTAGTGTTGCAGGCTTCCATAGGCTAGTAATATAATAGTTTACCATCAGACGGGCTGTATGCATGTTTGCTACCTTCGTTGTTTAATTTTTTATTATTATGATTTCATTTTTACTGGACAGTAGAGTTATAAAAAAAGCTATTTCAAAATGCTTGAATAATTTATTTTAGACTTCGCAAATCTAAACGCAACTATACGTAACATCCACTTTCTAGCGTTTTACCTTTATAAAACAACTGTCGGTCGTTTTCGGGTATGCACGGATAGATAGATAGATAGAAAGATAAATTATTTATTTATTTATTTCTTATCGCATTCCATAATATGGTTGGTAGATATTAAAACAAGCCTAATTATGGGCCCTGTTGGGCACAGCAAGTAAAAGAGAGAAGGGCAACCTTTTTTTACTTTAGAAATAGTTAATTTATTATCATATTATTCAATCATTAAAACTATTTCACAATAAATACCTACTTATTTTCTGTACTAGTATTTTATATATATTTTTTTATACAACTTAGAATGGCAAACAAGCTTACGGCCCACCTGATGGAAAGTGGTAACCGTCGCCTATAGACATGAGCAGTACCATGGATATAACAAAGTATACTGTTTCGCCCATGATACCCCCCATGGGCGAAACAGTATAGTATGTACCGTATATACTGTATATAGTACCGAAACACAGCCATGCAAACACAACTGCTTCACGGTTGAAACACGAATGGGACAGAGGTACCCAAGCAATCGACGGTTGTACAAAGTCTCCCTCTGATTTATTATTAACTTTAATGGATACATTTTTGTAATTTTCATATCTTATTTTATTAAAATAATATATAGCTTATATTACTTGCTGATAATATAGCTTTCTATATGTCAAAGAATTTATAAAGTCCATTGCGTAGTTTTTAAAATTATCCATTACAAACAAACAAACAAATCTATCCTCTTGTATATATTATATATATAACCACTAACCTGTCTTTGTATTATTATTGTTGTTGGTCCCCGACGCTTGGCTGAAGAGGGACGCTCCTGTGAGCCTAGCACGCCTAAGAATCCACCACATTTTGCCAAATAAAACTCAATCTAATCCCACCACAATAGCAATTAAAATTATATGTAAATCTAACACTTTACAACACACGAAATTCGATGTTCAAGTTTACAATTGATATAGATAAATTTTACAATATATTTTATATTCGATAGTGATAAGTTATTAAATATAAGTGTATTTCTAAATTATTTTAAATAGAGTTTCACACATGAAACAGTTTTTTTATTTACTTTTTGTATTGCGTTAGAATTGACGAACGCGTGGCTATCGAGTAACAGAGGGGTCAGAATGTCCCCACCGCTTGAATACCAAAACAGTACTAAGTGAACTCACCAGAAAACAACACATGCGCAGTAAGCTCCCGGTGAACAGGTGATTATTTAGATTTTTAAAAATATATAAGTTTTCATCGCTAAATATATACATATATAAAACTAAATCTGTTTTTACATTTCTTTTAAAGTATGTTACAGATTTTGATACGAGTTTCATTTTTTTTTTATACAACATAGAATGACAAGCAAGCTGACGGCTCACCTGATGGAAAGTGGTAACCGTCGCCTATAGACATGAGCAGTACCATGGACATAACAGAGTATACTGTTTCGCCCATGATACCCCCCATGCGTTGCCATTCCTGAGGACTCAGATGTCATTTCTCTGTACCCTGTAAATGCACGAAATATCCCACCCTTCAAAACGAAACACAGCTATGCAAACACAACTGCTTTACGGTTGAAATACGAATGGGACAGAGGTACCCAAGCAAACGACTTTTATACAAAGTTTCCCTCTGGTGATTCATATATATATAGAGTATGTAAGTAGTGCGACGAGCTAGATTGAAATTAAAAGGTAGAATGTATTTTTAAATTGCAAAAAAAAAGCTTGTAAATAACACTAGTGGCTGCTAAGAAGCTAAGAGAAGAGATTTAATTAATTTTAGCTCTCGCTTTGTCTAGCTTTGCGACGGATATTTTTCCTTTATTCTTTATTTATATATTTTTTGTAAATATGAATATTTCGTATATTAATTAATATCTTTAAACATTATTTGTGATGGATTGCTATTAATTTTGTTTTTATAAAGATCTGAAACAAAATTAGCTCTAGTTACAAGTTTCAATAGTTACTATATCTCATAATGCTTATCGTTGTTTTGAAATATATATGTATATGTTAAGAATTATGTTTATGTATTATATATGTATTTCTTATATATTATTATGTATTATTATTTCAGTAAGTTACTATAATTATGTCACATATTTCCCACCACATCTGCCCTTCATACGCTTTCTCTTTTTACCCAATGGTTAGCTGATAGAGAATATCATATGGCATTAAGCTTGTCACTTTTACAAAGTTTTATCGTGCAATAAAGAATACCTATATATACATTTTAGATGTCTGTTTACTAAAATTTACAATTTAATTATTAATTTTTTTTTATCAGGTAATAAATTGTAATTTGCATAATTTTCTAATAATAAAATAAATACTGTTTTATCTGTATAAACAAATATTATTATTTTTTTATTAATAAACCGTGGAACATTTTCTAATTACGTAACACAGTGGGCTGTACACAAAGTTTCAAAGAAAAAGGGCGGATGTTAATAATGAAATTCAAATTAACTTGGCTCTAGTTACATGCAAAGTGACTGTCAACTCACCTTGTAAAATGTAATTACCTACGTCTATAAACAAAAATAATATATACATTACAAAAAACATAATAAATAATATACTGCAGTTAAAGCTATTTTTGTCCAAATAAACTTATTACTTAAACTTATTTATTTACTCTCTAGTGGGCCACTTATTTATTTATTTATTTATTTATTTAGGTTTACCAACAATTGTTTCCACAAAATAATGTAAATATATATACAATTATGGAGTTTAGAACTAAGTGTAACAATTTTTTATAGGCAAACACAGCATATATTAATACATGTATAACAATAAGTACAGAGAAATATATATAGCTTACAACTATTATTAAATGCTTAACAACTAACAACTAAAGCCACCATATCCATAAGCAGATAGAAGCACTTAAAGAATAATACAAAACAATATGTTTATGCAAAACAAGGTTTCCTCGAAGAGAACTATTACAGAGTTAAGCTCGCCTGTTGTACATCTTTATTTAATATAAATTATAACAATGTAATTTTTGTGTACAATAAAGTATTATTTATAGTTATAATAAATAAAAATATGTAGGTATGTATATATATATATTAATTTATGTAAATCTAATACAACACTTTTCAACACACGAAATTCGATGTTCAAGTTTACAATAGAAATAGACAAATTTTACAATATATTTTATATTCATATATATATATATATTACACATATGAAGTACAAAAGGCGGTCTTCCTCGCTAAAGCAATCTCTTTTGGGTAGAGGAGGAAAAAAAAATGCAATAGCTATTTGGCGCAATAAGTATATCTAATTAAAAAACGCCCGTGTTAAAAAAACATATGCAACATAAATTTAACTTTATGTATTTCAGTACAAAGCAAAAAACTTCTACAATAAACGTTACTCTTCTTTTGTTTTTTTTTTTTTTAAAACAAAATTTGAATTATACTAGTTATAAATTTGTGTCAACACGGCGCTAACGACTACAGCACACCTGTAAATTGCCATTCATAAAATATAAAGATCATTAATTCTTATAGTACATACATTCGTATCATAGATTTAATAGATCTCCATACAGAGGTTTCGTCAAAAACAGTCAACTTTTTTTTTATGTTTTTTTTTTTAAATAACTTAGAATGGCAAACAAGACAGACATGAGCAGTACCATGGACATAACAGAGTATACTGTTTCGCCCATGATACCCCCCATGCGTTGCCATTCCTGAGGAGTCAGATGTTATTCCTCTGTACCCAGTAAATTCACACCATATCAACACGCCCTTCAAACCGTGCAAACACAACTGCTTCACGGTTGAAACACGAATGGGACAGAGGTACCCAAGCAATCGACTTTTGTACAAAGTCTCCCTCTGGTAATGTGTGCGTGAAATGGGTTGTCATAATGTATACTTATTACTCAGTATAAAGGGGAAATAGAAAAATGTATCGACATAGAATATGCCGCCCCATCCTTTCCCGTTGGTGTCGTAAGAGACGACTAAGGGAAGGCGAGAGGATGGGCAGCAGCGTTTCTCTTAAAACATCTCTAAGGGGGCATCCATTAATTACGTAAGCTCTTTTTCGATCAGTTTAGACTCCTCGCCCCCTCCCCCCCCCCCCTTAGGTGAGATTTAGTGAGATTTGCCTTGACTTATCTTTAATATTTTAGTAATATCTTTAATATTTTATATTTTTTTAAGTTGACGTGAGATTTTTGATTACCCCCCCCCCCTCGGTTTAAATGAGATTTGGTGAGAATTCATTAGACCCCTCCCTCCCTATTCTGAGCTCACGTAATTAATGGATGCCCCCTAACTGCGGTTGCCAATCCGCCTATCAAGTGTGACAACTACTGGCAAAACCTTACAGAGGAGGCTATGTTTGGCAGTGGATAGATAACAGCTAATATGAGTACAATACAATATAGGAGAAATAACATTATAAAGTTAAATTAAAAATTAAAAACGACACAAAATTATTTAGAATATATATAGAAAGAAAGATTATTAGTAATAGGAATTAATAATCCCATTACTAGCATACTGCTAGCCCAATCAGGTCGAACACCACACAGTCCCTCTGGAAAAAGTCATGGCTAATTCCTAGCGACCTGCTTCCATTCTCACGTATCATTCCTGACTGGTGCTCCATCAGTACATACTAATAGCGCAGCCATGGTTACCATTTCTTTTTTATCCCATTGAAAAAAAAACATGGAAATTTTTGATAACTTTTTTTTCATTAGAAGCCAAGAACGATTTACATCGTAGCTGATGAACCCAGTAGGGGCGACATTGAAATTGATGATAACTTTTTCGTCATCAGAGTGTTTTTTGATTTGAAGGGTGGGATGTGACAGTGAATTTACAAGGTACAGAGGAATAACACCTAAGTCCTCAGGAATGGTAACGCATTGAGGGTATCATGGGCAAAACAGTATACTCTGTTATGTCCATGGTACTGCTCATGCCTATAGGCGACAGTCACCACTTTCCATCAGGTGGGCCGTCAGCTTGTTTGCCTTTTTAAGTTGCATAAAAAAAGAAAGGGCTGTCAAAAACTTGTCCAGAGGCACCAGGTACTCGTGTATTAAGGCCGGCCCTGGGAGACAGTGTATTCTTACTCCCTCACAAGATAGTAAAGCTTTGTAAGGATCATCATCATTGTCGTCATCTCAGCCATTCTCCTTCCACTGCTAAACATAGGTCTCCCCCATAGACTGCCATAAAGAATGGTTTTGAGCCACCTGAACCCACACACTCGCTGCTATGCATTTGTAACAATACAATCTGGAAAAATAACCGATTAATGCCTGTAATAGCCGATCGAACAAAAACATGAGCCTAATAAAGTAGAGATAATGGATAAAGATTATGTAGGAAATGTTGAGGGAAACAAAGATAGCTGTCAGATACAATCTTTGGAGATTTATTGATTTGTTATCGAGTAACAGGCTCCATTTTATTATTTTTAGCTCGCAGAACACGTGCTAGTTTGTATCCGTCAAATCAGCTATCTACTGTCCATTGCTAATAGGCCTTCACTATTTTTTTTTTTTTTATTTATTTAAAAGGTTACAAAACAGGTTACAATCTATAAGTAGTAGCTATATAGTATAGCAGAATAATATAAAGTAAGTGCTTTATATTTTTCTCAAATTCGTGTATAATATAGTATATATCATATATGTGTAAGTATATTTGTTATTCATATATATTTACTCGTTTATATATGTAATTTTAGTATGTATGTATATCAATAATTAGTAGTACCGCATTCGAGTATTCTGACACTTGCCTATGGTTGATTGGGAGAGAATGCTTTTAGCATTAAGTCCGCCATGTACATATATATGTACTAATGAATAAATAAATAACATTGTAAAAATTTATAGAAAGACAATACTATGAACTAGATTGAAACCCAGACAGGTGTACACACAGCATGGTTTATGAGAAGTTTTGCAGTAGTTGCCACGCTTGGCAAGCGGATTCGCAACCGCAATTAGACTAGAGTGATGTATTAAGAGGAACGCTGCTGCTCATCTCTCGACCGTTAAGTTTCCTTAGTCGGGTCTTACGACACCCACGGGAAAGGAAGGGGTGGACTATTCTATGTCGGGACCA